AATCTCAGCGATATTGAAATGAGTAATTCCAACGTTTCGTTCGGCAATCTGGTCCGAACTTCCTCAGGGAAATTAATCAAAATTAACATAACAGAGGTTTATATATAAACCTATGTAATTGGCACAATCATCGTGTTTTCAATCTCCGTTGTCTGGAACTAAATGCATATCCTAAATCCGTAGCTGTCGAGTCACCTGACAGCTCCAGTAGGTCGAATAAAGCAGCTCAATCTTCAGAAAGAAGGCAAAAGAATAAGTCCGACAGGGTGCTTCTACTAAACGCTAATCCCAAACACCATAATTTTGAAAATACGTCTAATCATAAAATTCTAGATACTAACAGTTTGAACGGACATGAAGGCGTGATGTTAGCTGATGCATAGGAAATCCTTATTAATAAATAAAAATGGATATGTATCACTAATTATTAATACTTGGTCAAAATTCTCGACTGTCCATATCTTCTTATGGAAACGTTAAGAAATGTTTTACAACTGTTTACCCACACACACATACTCTGTTTAAAGTGTTTAACAAAGGTAGACCAATATTTGTAAGTCCGAGGTCGAATTTTGATCACAGCTCATAAAATTTTGTTTATTATACTTGTTGAAACTTTTTGAATGACTCATGATTGGACAAATTTTCAAAAACAAGTGATGTTCCTTTTTATATATAAACCTATGTTATGTTAATTTCGATTAATTTCCCTGAAGAAGTTCGGACCAGATTGCCGAACGAAACGTTGGAAATACTCATTTCAATCTCGCTGAAACTTTACAAATATAATTTTTTACAAATGTCTACTTCTCACTCGGCGCCCAAATATTTTAGAACTATTCTGTCAAATCTTGACGACAGTTCATTTAATAGTACATCTGTTATGGTATCAAAATAAAGTTTACTAACTTGACCATCGTTCGTTAATCTGGGGTCGTTTTTCGTTGTCAAGTTGGTCATTTGGTAAAGATAACAAAATCAAGTGTAGATTGTTGGATTTGATAAAGCCATTAGCATTAAATAGCGAAACTTCACCAAAAACAATCACGAATTGGTAGAAGTTAGAATTCATGAGCCATTGAATCGGGTCCCAGTGGCTGAATGGTATACGAGCTTGCCTTGTAACCGGAAGGTCCCGGGTTCGAATCCCAGTGGGTGCCTACTGCCGATGATTCCCAAACTAGGATGAAACAGCAGCTGTCCAGTACTCCCCGGTTTTCAATGGTTCTCTAACTGATATCAGTTCGTGATCAACTTGTAAAACATAACTAATCCTTACAAACCAAAACTATAAAAAACAATATCATTTTGTTTTTCATTCATTGGGAAATACAAAAACTTTCATAATAATGAATATCATATACCCAATGCCCAAATTTTTTCAAACTGTTAAAAGTGAACTTGGTTTGGACATATATACTAAATGGAGTTTATAGACATAATACATCACTTGATCCAAAGGAAAAGGTGCATTTATTTGATGAAATAAAAATATTTTATGTAATATATATATATATATAAAATACTGAGCAAGCCTAATACTATCGTATAAAAATTCTCATTTTAAAAGAACATTCTACTGACACCTGTCATAATCATTCAACAAATCATTAATCTTCCTTGTCTGATAAATCCTGTCCTAATCACTCATTTTATTGTTGAGAATGAAAAATAATCACAACCCCTTCTGATTGACAAATGGAAAATAAATTAGTTTCACTAACGAATACATTAATCAGAACTAACTGAATAAGAACTGCAATTTCTACAGGATGGTGACAAAATGTTTATTCATTTTTATAGCATAAAAAGAATAGTGAATGAATTTTATCTGATGACTATTTAGAAATAATTCTATTGAAATCACGTAGTTATTTTGTAGGATAAAATCTTTTTTTGATTTTGAGAGGTTTATGAAGAAACTAACACTTCTAAACTAGATCTTCGGACCAGAACTAATGCAACTGAAAGCTGAAATTAAACAACTGTCCAATACTTTTCCTAGTTTTTCAATACCTTTTTATAAAATCGCTTAAATTACCATAAGACTGAAAATTTGATATTAACTCACTGTTTCAAGATAGGATCCATTCATACAACTAGATGGATATTTCATTTAGATTCTGTATTTTAGTGCATCACAGCGTTGTTTACATTTTCACTCACTTTGCTAAACTCATGACTTATCTTCCAAATTACTTAATCCTTTATCTAAGTAGTCAGCGATTTGATGTGACTGGTTACAGGATTTCATCATGAAGAGACATCGGTTAGCTAACCATTGCAAAACCTAGGAGTACCGGACAGCTGTTTTGTCCTAGTTTGGGACACTTCATCAGAGCGCACCCACTACCAGAGTTCGAACCCAGGACCTTCGGGTTAAAAGGTCAACTCGTAGACCATTATGCCACTGGGACCTAATCCAATGGTCCATGAATTCCAACTTCTGCCAAATCACGATATAGCGCGACCACTAGCCAATGTTATGGGTGAGTATCTGTCCTCATACCCGACCTGTTGTACCCCACTGGTCACGACCTCTCACTAGAACCCGGGTAACTACCTACCTGAATAGGGAAAGTCGCTAGTGAGCATCATTTCGATATTCAAGCGTTGGTTTGCAGGTCTACGAAGTCACCTTGCAACCGTAAGGTCCTGGGATCGAACCTCAGTGGGTGCGTAGTGATGAAGAGTCCCAAACCAGCGTTCCAGTACTTCAAGGTCTTCCAATGCTTCATGATGAAATCCTTTGTTCATAACTCCTGTTCCATTACTATACCAAGGATTATAAAAAGCCATTTGAGTTGAAATAATTTTTAAAGTACGTTACTTATTCACATTTATAATAACTTATGTTATTCTTAGATTATTAGTAGCTGAATAAAAGCTGTGAAATAGAAATAATGAGCTCTTTTTGTCCTGCAAACATATTCGTTTTTGCTTTGTTCAAATTAATCAAGGGAACTATATATATATATATATATATATATAAAATTCCATCCACCCAATCGAGTGTGAGATATTCACCGATAACACTAGATTAGATAAGTACCATATTTCACAGTTGGCAAGTTTAAAACAGGTAATCATAGGATTTTAAGTCGATTGTGAGACACCAAATCGCTAGCTTCCATTCGACTGCTCATAGAGTCACAAGTGCGCAGTCCAATGACCATTGTTTTTGGGTAATTCTTTGACGAATGAAAACAGTAGCAAACACTGCCTGTGACTCTAAGACTAATGTTAAAATCGATGAGATCATCTTCAAGACTGATGAATACACAAAAGAAATTCCTGCGTGTTTCCAGCACAAGGTAAATCTAAGGCAGCTTAGATATAGATTAACAAGTAAAAGGATACAGCTGTTAAAGCTGACTAAAGAAACTAGTGTCAGAAAACTAGAATATCGCGAGAGAAACAGTTAAGTAGTTTGTTCACATGGAGGCAACTGCAGCGATGGATGAAGAGTTCAAAGAGGAGATCAGCTGGCAACCAGCTACTTCTCATATGCCCTTCATTCTATTTAAATGTAAATGAAATGTTGAAATCACTTCAACGTTTGCAGAATTCGGAAAATCTGTAAGCTACTAAAAGCAAAATCAGACAGCAGAAGTTGATGGGCTGTATTCACAGATATTTACAGATAATGGACCAAAATTATGGTTGCCCACAGAAGATCATCGATAAACGTGGAAAACGTATTGTTGAAAAGTGAACTGCAGCACAGCTCGCCTTCAAAGGTGGTGAAATTGCTAGTAGAATAAGATTCAGACTGAATGCTGCCCTGAAAAAACCGCAACATATCCAGCCGCCCAGCACGAATGTATTTATGAAATAACCACTGGTTTACTACAATCAAAAGTGGACAAACTCCCGCCTTATGTTACCTTCAACTGTGTCTACAAATTGACACATGTACGTGACAAAGCACATACATAAAAACAGCCGAGAGAAGGGTTGTTGTCCGCATTTCTGAACACATAACAAAGAACCTGAGAATAAACGGCTCACAGACATTAAATAATGCGATTGTGCACTAATTATTGGACACTGGTCATTCTGTGGACAATCTGTAGACGTTCAAAATAATTAATCAACAGGCTAAAGCAACCTGGTTTGCTAATTTTACCTGAGGCAATCGCCATCAAACTACTGAAACCAATCCCATGTACACAGAGAGGGACACTGGTGAACCTTGCACTATCTTGGTGATTAAACTTACATAAACACAAAGTATACAAATCTATTACGTCATGTACTCTCCCCTATATCTTCTGTCCTATTTAGAAAATTTTATTGTTTCATCTGAAAACTGCTCACCCTACCCATTTTTTTTACTATTTTATAAAATCATTTTCTGTAGTTGCGTAACCTATTGTATTGATATACTCTTTCTAGTTAAACTGTTTCTGAACTCTGCCCCTTTCTTCTCAAGAATATTCATCTAATTAGCCTATAAATTGTCAATCTTTTTAACTCTTTATAACTCTTTAAATTCTGGACTTCTGTTACTCTTAATTCCTATCAATTATTCCTTGTCATCATGGAAAACGTATGCTCAAATCTTTAATGTAGTGATTAATATATTTATGGTATTGTTCAGGTTGTAGCCAGATGAGGAGAATCCTTGAAATAATAACAGATAACCTCCTATCATCCTGGTACACACATTTGTCGTTCTTGCTTTATTTAAATGGGAAGAATTGTAATGAAGTTCTTCATTTATAGATATATTGACTTTTACTTCTCATTGTCTTCTAGTTGACACCATCAAATAGGCTATGGATGCATATGAAATAATAATAATAAATCAATAAGGAAAGCATAGTAGATACAATATATGTCAAAAAACTTTATTGTTAGCTAGGATGCAGAAAGGGGAATCTCGCATATACATGCATACCACAGTATTGTTTGTTTTTGTTCTCTGATCAAGCATTCCTTTCACATAATTTTAACACCATGAAAAACTTTATACATGAATCACATTGATACAGCCACACGCAAGCACGCACACACACACACACACACAGACGAACAGACACCGGCTTCAACTTTTCCAACGTAATAATAAGTAATCAGTATGTAATGAATGTGTCGACTTATAACAATGATGATACCGAATATATATTCAATTAAGTATTAATGAAAGTATTCTTCAAGGAGGGGGAGAAAAGAATAATTATGCCTATCAGTAAACTTTTTAGAAATATAATACATCAGAAAATCTGTTCACAAAAAAATAAAAGCAGACCATATTAAAGCAAACAAATAGACAATGGAATCGGGGAAAGACGAAGTGAAGGTTACTGAACACAGCTGATTTTACATCAATATATAAACTATATATATATATATGCATGTACTAGTAAGGTATATAATATGACAGAGGAAAAGAGACGAAGAGGCTTTGGCACTGAGGATAGATGAAGACACAGACTACTGAAGGCGATAAAATATTAGGCAAGAAGAAAGGAAAGGATGTATAGCAAGTAGACTGGATGCATAAATATATATACCTTAATGTGTGTATTTGTTCAAATTATGCAATTTATACTGATGATGACACCTATGCCGACATCATGCAAATGTTTGTCAAATAAAATACAAATTTGAAATCTGAATAAAGCAGCGGAAGCATTAGAGAGTAAGGGAGAATATTTCGAAAAAAAATACAACAACAACAGCAAAAAAACAGCAACTGGTGTTTATTTGGTTTTCCCTAAGTGTCAGTGAATGCATCACCCTATAAATTGAATTTACAGCGCATAATACACTCGGGGAAAAAACGATAAAAACGCAGCAAATCACAACAGGAAATAAACAGCAGACAAAAAAGTGTGAAATAACAATGAAAAGTAAATGAGAAATGAAAAACAACTTAAAATCGTCTGTGATCACCACCACCAGCGTCTGTTGGATAGTTTTGTCGAAGCCAAAATTGATAAACAATCCATGCACCAGTTTGTACAAGTAGATTTGAAACCCAAAGAGCTGGTCGTAAGGAGATGATCAAGCAATAGCGTAGAAGACGTAATACCTTCCATTCGTCTTTAACATTGATTCTATCATCAAATGGACGCCAACGACTACCAAGAGCACCAATTACTAACACTGGATAACCAATCGCAAGGATAACACCACCCCAACCAATAAAATGTGGAAATATAATGGAAGAGCATCCCAATGGTAGACCGTAACCAAGAAAATACGTCCAATTATCGACTATTTGTGCTAGAAAACCTTCAAATGTCGTACCTACAGAATGTTAATAAAATAAGTACCGTAAAAGATATGGGAGATGTAAAGTGACTAATGAATGTATTTTTCGTGTCTACTGTATACAAAAATGAATCAAGTAATTATATCCAGTGGATAAGTGTGAGGGAGAAAATGTCATGAACTAGAAACTTTCACGTTTATTCATTCAGAAGATAAGAATTTACTGACTATAAAACAACGTAAATCTTGAATCGATTTTCGTTAACTAAAGTAGCAATTCTTAAAACTCGCCATGGAAGACAACTGATAAAAAACTGTATGGCTAGTGTGGTAGAATAATTTATCTGAAAATTCTACCATACACAATCTATATTGATACTTATTAGACTTATATTGTTGTGATCACTGTTCTTTTCTTTTGACGTGAATATCATTGTCCTAATATTTGTATATCGCCTTTTGACTTAATCTACATTAATTGTCTTTATTTTTGGTTGATCCCTATTTTTAATGATTCTCTTTGCTATTGTGTGATAGTGTTGATAAAAATCTATTCTTTTATGACTAAGATTTTGTTTCAGAGAATTCAAAGTTACGTCTTCAAGTGACTGATTGACCTTGGAATATCTGCAGAAGACGTGTTTTGTTCTGTTTGGCGCTTACAGGAAGAATTTCGATTTCACCTTGTTGTAAATATTCTAATTGATTCTTAAGTTACTTAAGATTGTGTTCGGTTAGTACAGTATGCATTTTTCACCCTTGAGAAACTTTTGGTTTGTATAGCTGCCAGACGGCATTATGAAAGTAGTTTCGTACATATGATATAACACTCTCAAGCGTCTTTTGATATTGTTCAAATATAATTTTGGATTGCGTGTCACTCAGAGAAATTTGTTAAGCTTTACAGAAGAATGCATCTATTGGTTCCATGTATTGAGAGTGAAACACTTGGATTTTGGTTACACTACAGCCTGTGTGTAAAAACAGAGGCTGATTTGGGAAAAATTAACGGACTTCGTTGTCTATCTAACAGTTTTGCTTTTCTTATAAACATAAATACAGCAAGTGTACATTACAGAGTTTTATACATTTGTTTCCCTCTGAAAACGCGAATATTGTAATAAGAATAGTATTTTCAAAATAAGACGGTTTAAAGTTGGAATAGTATTCTGCTAAACTGACAGTATAAGAGAAAAGTAATGCTGGTTTTAATTCCTTCCTTATCTAATTGTTTCTTTTGTGTTTGACTTCATACGAATTATTACAAGTAGAATTGTGGTGTGTGCTACTGACAAGATTTATCAGTAGTATATAAGGAGACGTTCATCGGCATAAATACATTGAATAGCAGGGACATTAATCTGATTTCAGAGAAATCAAATGATACAGCGTTACACAGATACATAGGAGACGCGAAAAGAACCCAAAGAAAGACAATATAAAGGCCAGAATTAGCAAAACACGGAAGATCTGTGCAAATGGTGCGTTTAATATTAGGTGTACATAATTTGGCTATGTAGAGATACCAAGCCAATCGTCTTCTACCACTTTAGTATTAGTTTATATTTTACTTACTGTGTCGTCACTTCCTAACCACAATTGCTGGTACCCGTTGAAATTTATCTCGCCCAATGCATATACATTCTGTTTGATCTACAATAATTATAACATTATAGTTAAACGTATCTGCCGTGCATGCTTTATTTATATTCCAATCTTTGTTGAGCATTGTTTATTCTAATCACTTTATCCAGACATTCTCACAGTGTTTAATACTGACTGACACAGCTCAGCTGTTATTTCTTATTAAGCACATTGAAAGTGCATTTGACAACATTCAATCCTAGACACCTTACAATTTAAGGTTTGTATATTATATTTATAATTTTATATATAATATGGTACAATAGTTTAGACATATCCAATGTTTGGGATTTTAAGCGTAACTTAAACGTTTGATTTATTCAATCGACAGTTCGACTACAATTATCGTTCTAGATTTCTACTCAGAAATCTACTGGATTCGAAACTTAAACTAGTTGACTAGAAATCAAGTGCTTACGACAATGACCTACACTTCCGCATAAAGTAGATTAATCGACTGACGCTCTGTGATAATTGTGGATGAAAAACAGAATTTATAAAATCAAACGTACAAATTGTTCCCAGAATTACACTGAACAGACTCTAAACTGTGTGAAAGCTTGAAACTCTAGTGACTATTAAATGAAAGCAAATTGACGTGACGCTTTATTCTTGGTGTCAATGCAAAAACATTTGTGTGACATTTTCCACATTACAACTAAAATGCACTATGACCCACACTTATTGTGTATAGGCTGAAGTGGATGAAGCATGGCTTGAATCCCAAACCAACTGAAAGGATCTCAAGTTCTACAGCCACATCTCCACCTGGAATAATATACTTGCACACCATTCAAATAAGCACTATGCAATTATATACATATATGTGTGTCGGCGTCTAAGTGGTTGAATGTTCGCCAACCACGCATGTGGTCTGGGGTTCGAGCCCTGGCCGACGACGCACCCCTCTACTTCTCGAAGCTAGTGACGAGACCGGCAAATAAGGGAGGTTGAGCATGAGGCTAGAAACCCCACCCCGTAAAAATAAACACTCCTACTACTGAGACCTCAAAGCTATAGTTTGAGGCCCTATGTTCTTCGGGGAATGTAAAGAAATAAGAATATATATATATATATATATAAGTCAACTGACTTACCGGCAACTTGCCTCCAACGATATTCAAATGCATAACATGCATATAAGAATGCCACAGAGAAGGCATTTATAACATTTCCAATCCAGTAATTAGCAGATAATGTGGCCAACAAACTCCACTATGTTAGTGTATTTTCATGAAGAGACAAAGAGGTAGAGAGAGAGATACAAAAACAACAAAAAACAACCAAAAATTGATCAAAAACAACTCAGATGGGGTGACATAAGAACAGAATAAATTTATTTGACTGATGAGAGTACATAATGATACACCATTATTTACTGACGACGTTGCAAGCACAACTTACTGCTCACAATTATATCAAGGCATTCACATAACTTTCTAACTTCATTTCACATACTTCCATCATTCCTTATCATTTGGTTTTATTGGCAGTAATATTTTTCATAACTCCAGTATTGGCGTCACGTCATTTTTATTGCACGTTACAGGTGTCGATTCGATGGACAAAGATTTAGTGATCAACCTCTACTTCCACCTATTCATAATACCTTACAGAAGTGCAGCTCTGTCCCACCCTATTGTATGATTGTGTGTTGATGCATGCATTGCGATTGTTGAGTGCTTCTCTTCACTATTCACCTTCGAGGGATCAATCATTCGACACTTAGCTAAATTCTTATGTTCTGACAATCTAACTACCCACGATCTACTGGTTTGACCTATGTAATTGACCTCACAGTCATTGCAAGGTATTTAGTAAATTATATTATTTTGTCTAATTGGGGTCGACACGGTCCTTTAACCTACACAGCTTGTCCCTAAGTGAGTTCGTAGGTTGGAATGTCACTCCAATCCATGATCTATTAGAAATCCTACGTAGGGTTTCAGATCTCCCTTCTTTATGTGGTAGGACTGCAGATTCTTTAAATTCTCTCTCATTTATCTCATGATCAATAGTCTCACCACTGTTTTTTCTTCATCTTGTGGGCTTTCAAAATCTTCTTAATGAATCATACGAGATAGTTATTTAACAAAAACGCTTCCTCTATCTGCTTAATTTCATTATTTAGATTTTCTAATGTACTACTTAAAGTTATTCCTCCGTTTGTTAGACACTTAACTAAGCCTTCCCTTACAGATAACGGATGAGACGAATTAAAGTCTAAATACTGGGTAACTTTAAAATGGATTCTGTAATATAATTAAAATCATTCATATATGTGTAGCTCAAGATAAACTATACACTAAGTTTGTTCTGAAGGTGTCAAAAAGTGTGCTGATGAAACGCCCAAATCGAATAGTGTAGTATAGAGAACGTCAAACAAACAATTTGCTGTATGGTTAATATGATCATCACCTTATAAGCATAAAAAGTTAAAGCACTACTAAGAGGAATCGAATGATATACATGAACTTCAAAAGGTAAAACAAGATTCTCTATACTGTGAATTATAAATCTTAAAATGTAGGATAAATAAAAACCTTTTTTAAAAAAAAAATAAAAACATTTTATCCACATATATTTTATTTCCCCACAACGTCCAAATAAGATTTTCATTTGGTGAGAATGATTGTAATACTTGACGTTACATAAATCACTTACTTGTAATTGAAATGTCATGAAGAAAATCAGTGTATATAAACGATCCATTATTGTACCACCGATTGCAGAATTAAAGAAATTTGAACTATCACCAGAAAAACTAGCAAAGCCTGAAAGAAGCATACTACTACGAGATCCAGTACGTTGAATATAACGATATTCTTTACACATAGACAATAAAGTTATACGATCACATATTTTCTAGAGAAAAAAAGAAAAAAATGCGAGAGAGATGAGGCATTAATAATATTAAAAACAATGTTCACACTGTTTAACTTCGAATGATCATTAAAATCATCTAGTGTATTATGTTAGATTTTTTCAAGGAAAGTACAAAAGAACGCAGCATTAGAAAATACGTATCTGGGTTGCGAGTGAAACATAGGACCGCGACAGTGCATCTCTATTTCGTCCTGTTCCCTGCAGTCTCCTCTAGCTGCTTTCATGACTTCCCCTCTGTCAGACTCGGACGCACAATTGGTCTTCTCCAATTCGCGTTCCACTTGAAGGGCTAGCGCATGATGTCACTCACAAGGTCTCCTAACCGTGTGTCTAGTCCATCTGCATATCCTTTGAACAATAGGTTCTTAGTTGGTTGATTCCAAGAGTTATTTGTCACTAATCCTTTCGAATTATTTCATCTTCAGTATGGAGCGAAGGTAGTTGTTGACAAGTCTGCGGTCTATTGGAAATACTTAATAATAATAATAATTTGCTTTATTCCAAAAACAGTACTAATGATACAGCAAGGAATTTTCAGCATTCAGTACAATATTGCATCTAATTTACTCAAAATACTTTTGATGATGCGCTAATTCTCTAAACCATCTGCAATGACAGCAGTATAACGCCTTAGGAGGGATGTAGCATACTAAATACTGGCTTCCAATTACATCAACCTGGGAAACCACATAAGTACCCTAAATCCTCATACGAGACAGCCTTGGGGAAAAGTACACTTTTATAAGGTAAAAACAGTGTATCAGTTTTATACAGGTATTTTTTTTCACTAACAAGTACTGATAAATATATGTGAGCTTTGATCAAGATTAAACCTATTGGTTTAAAAAAAGGAACATTTGGCTCGAAAGGAAAAGTAAACGGATGTGAAAATTTTATTTGTATAGGTCTCAGAGATACTGAAATAAGTAATTTTAACACTTTTCGGTCAGTAAAGTGGTCCGAAATTCTTTAGGAAAATTAATCAAAATTAAAATAACAAAGGTATAGATGTATAAAATGACGTATCTTGTCTTTAAAAACCTCGTCCGAAAATGTGAGTCATGAACAGACATCAAAGTGTAATAAACAAAAGTGTATGAACTGTGATCAAAATTTGATCACAGATTTACAATTGTTACCTTACTTTTGTTAAACACTGTAAACAGTGTGTACTTTTCATATAAGTTTGTTTATTAGGTATATCACACAGTGAAATAATATTATTTACTGGATGACGTTTCGAACAAAATTTATTGTTCATTATCATATCAATCGTGATCACACGACTTTGACACTTGAGTTTTATAGTTTTCTTTGTTCTCTCCTATTTGTCGTATGGGTAGTAGAATTTTCCAGATATCGGGGACAGGTGATGAATCATTCCTACTACATGTATTTGTAGTTGATTCGATAAACAAAGCTTCTGTTATCAATCTCTCCCTATACCCTGTGACATTAGATTTTAAAACTGTCATCCTATCCCATCCTATTGTATGGTTGTGTGTAACTGCATGTAGTGCTATAGCTGAACTATTCTCTAGATTTCTTATCTTATTCGGGTCAACCAATCTAGATTTTGCTGCTAGGTTTTTATGTTCGGCTAGTCTGACTGCCCCTGTTCTACTAGTCTGACCTATGTATTTGACCTGAAAATCATTGAAGGCAGGATATTGGATAAACTAAATTGTTTTGTTTTAAAGGCTCTACAGGATCCTTTAACCGACAAAGCTTGTTTCTAATTGAGTTTGTGGGTTTGAATGCCGTTTTTATTCCTGCCTTGTTAAGAATTCTGCGTAAGGCTTCCGAGGTTCCTTCCTTGTATGGAATTACTACTGATGATTTAGATTCTGTATTGTTGGTGTCGTCATTAATATTATTATTATCACTATCGCTACTATCATTATTTATTTTATTTTTACATTTCCTTACATATTTCTTGATTAATTTATCCGGGTAATTATTAAGTTTCAAGGCTTCTTTTATGTGTATCAGTTCCTGTTTTAGATTTTCTTTGGTACTACCTAATTTTTGTGCTCTGTCACTTAAACATTTCACCAATCCTATTTTTACTGACATAGGATGGGATGATCGGAAGTCCAAATATCTGTTTGAGTGTGTGGGTTTCCTGTAAACACTAGTGTTTAACTTCCCATCTTCTTTCCTTTTTACGTTGCAATCTAACATTGGGAGCTCTCCTTCTTGATTTTCCAATTCATAAGTGAATTGAATTGCTTCAACCTTCGAGCTGATGTGTTCGAAAAACCTATCTATATCTTGTGTTCTAAGTACAGTGAATGTGTCATCTACGTACCTCCACCATACTTTTGGGGTGGGGGTGAACGTTTAAATCGCTATGTTTTCCTACTTATCCATGAATATATCTGCTACCACTGGGTATATTGGTGATCCCATGGCAACTCCCTCAGTTTGTTTGTATATTTTCCCTTGGAATTTAAATACTGTGGAAGTCAGGCATAGCTGTACTCCCAGCACTATGTCCTCAATTTAGTTTATCTAATACCCTGCCTTCAATGATTTTCAGGTCAAATACATAGGTCAGACTAGTAGAACAGGGGCAGTCAGACTAGCCGAACATAAAAACCTAGCAGCAAAATCTAGATTGGTTGACCCGAATAAGATAAGAAATCTAGAGAATAGTTCAGCTATAGCACTACATGCAGTTACACACAACCATACAATAGGATGGGATAGGATGACAGTTTTAAAATCTAATGTCACAGGGTATAGGGAGAGATTGATAACAGAAGCTTTGTTTATCGAATCAACTACAAATACATGTAGTAGGAATGATTCATCACCTGTCCCCGATATCTGGAAAATTCTACTACCCATACGACAAATAGGAGAGAACAAAGAAAACTATAAAACTCAAGTGTCAAAGTCGTGTGATCACGATTGATATGATAATGAACAATAAATTTTGTTCGAAACGTCATCCAGTAAATAATATTATTTCACTGTGTGATATACCTAATAAACAAACTAATATGGAATCACTTACTACCACAGTGCCCAAGTTTTACACATATACTAGTGTGTACTTTTGCATCCGACTTTTAATGATTGTGTTCGACTAAAGTTTATGGATAACTGAAGATGATATATATATAGATTCAGAACTCCTTGTTACTCTTACATTAAGTTCTGCTGGCATCCTGTGAATAATATTATAGTTTAATAAGAAATTATAATACTTTGATAAAGCTATTAGCATTAAACAGCGAAACGTCAGTAAAAACAATATCGTTTTGTTTTTCATTCATTGGGAAATACAAAAACCTTTATTATAATTAATAAGAAATTATAATGAATTCAAAAAATCAGATAGTACTCACTCACCTTTAAGTATAACAGATTTACTAACTCCATAAACAAGAGTAAGGCTATATGTACGGTACAGGAGAAAATTCGTTGAATGACCAGGAAGGAACGTGAAGATTCAAGATATGATACTGAAAGAAAGATGAAAATAGTTTGCGTTAGAAAACTACAATTAGTCTAAAACAATATCGAACAGAATTGACGAAAAGAAGGCAGACTTTATATGAAACTCTCGACATTTTATTGACCAAGCATATGAACCATTAGTATAATCTGATGGTTTTTTCTAATTAGATAACATTGGTATTAGTTTAATCTGAATGTGTAATTTTGATTGTAAATCATGAAGTTAAATTGCCAGTAGAGCTCCAGCATAGTCTATTCTAACTGACTGCTTCAAGGCGAGTTCAAACAAATAGATTGTTTCCAATCTTCATTTGTGTAAAAGATATACGTATGAGAACTGTATGACTGTTAAACTCCCTACACAATTTAACATTGTTCAACCATTTATACGTTTCACGGCCGAAGAGTTAAAGGTTACACACCATTTATTCAATGTTATATTGAAGAGAAATGACGGTCAGCTGAAGAGGATGACTTACGGAAAGATGAGCACTACAGGACAGTTCAACAACTTGAACAGTTGGGTACGTTTATGTAGCAAGAGAAAGCTTATCCACTCTTGATACTTTGAGTTTTGAAGATCTGCTTCAAGGTATGATTAAAAAGTTAGTCGAAGGTTTATTTATAGAAACATAATGAAACAAATTACTCCTGGCCAAATCATAATGCCAAGGAAGGCATTAATCACGAATTTTGGATTTAAAGAAGATATCATACAGGAAGTGTTGCAGAGTTGTTGAAGTTTGAAGAATAAAATATCGCTTATGTTCATCTTTCTGTGGAGAGGATTACAGTAGACACCACTAAGCAAGTTCTCCAGGAACATGTGGCCGAATATTATTTGTTTTGGCTGAGAGACGCTTCATCAGGACGACAAAATTATAAAGTTGCGGAACAGCTTTGGCAGTCAAATCATTCGGCTACCCATAATGCGCATACTGAAATTATCTACAGAGCCACATTCAACCACCCCAAAAGTCTGTGCTTCTATCACTTATATCCTACAGCTGAAGCACTAGTCTTAAATAAACGGTCATACAAACTATGTATTCACAAACGTCTTGTGAAGACCCTTTCCTTACCCTGGTCCTAATAATGTTCTTCCTAGCTAACTTCATTTAATGTTTCCAATACCATTATTATATTATTCCAGTAAGTGACCCCATTATTCCTTGTCAAAACTGAATTCTTTTTTTCAATAACTCGTTCTGTATTCTACTCACTTCAACTCCAGGTCTCTTAACAACCATGTTAATTTCTTACCTTGACTGGGCTATTTTCCTACGACTGCCTTTTCGGCAAACATAAATATGATTATACACCTTGAATATAAAATTGTTGAAAAGAATATTTCTTCACTGAATAAATCCTTGTTTTCTTATTCATGAATGGATATAATAATAGTCAATAAGAAATATTAGTCTCAAAGCAGGTTATTTCATCGCAGCTTAATAATAAACAGTGCGTCGGTAGTCCAGCGGTAGAATGCTCGCCACCAACACATGTGGTCCGTGGTACGACTCCCGGTCGACGCAATCCTAGACCTCACCTAGTTTACTAGCCAATAGTAAGTCTGCAAAAGAGGCAAGGTTGAATGTGAGGCTAGTAACCCCGCCCCGTAAAAAACAACACCACCGCTACTAGAACTTAAGGACTTTAAGCATGGAGCCCTATGTTCTGCTAGGAACGTAAAGGAATGAAAAAATAGACAGTACGAAATGCTTATCCTAAACACCATTCGATAAAGGTTCATAATCTCGTTGACACTGATGAATTAACTTTTAATAGAAATTAACATTCACCACAGATAATGCTGACTCAATGCTTCAAGTATGTTTATGGTCAAACATTGATAGTCATTTCTTTATCGTAACTTCAATAGTTGCATAGCAAGCTGTACACCACACTTCTGAGAATTATACATAGTTATTGATAGAGATTCAGGCAGATGCTTAGTGATATGCATCATGCCATTTAGCTAATATTAATCAAGATTTATGTATCTATACAACGGTTATTCTGATAAATACTCTAACCGAAAAAATCTAATTCTCAAAACAAGGTGATTAAATCACTCAACTCCCAGTCATTAATCCTATGTATGCAATACGTAAAATATTACGTAGTACATATTATAACTTACACACGAAATTTCGTATACTCGCTAACTAATGCCAATTTTAAAAGCACTTCACATGATAATCTGTTCTAATTCTAGAAATCACTTTATTGGGTTGCAACACATCAGTTACTGAGTAAAAACAACTCAGGCACGAATTGAATGATAATCTCTGTACTCAGAGTGATATAGATGAAGGCAGTTAAGTGTTACTCAACAGAACTACTTGTATAAATATACACATGAGAATGAGCCACACCTATTTTGCGGGATGGTGATGATACTAACTGGCGGTTCAAGTGTGGAATATGACTCGAAAGCGTGACCCACCGGTAGTAAAGTCAAGTATGTGGTTGATTGGTTTATGAACCACAGTACTTAATCACAGCTGATTAATAATGAAAAAGGGAAAATGTGTTTCTGTCAAGTGAAAATCAGAAACTAGTTCATAAAACAGTAGAATACTATGGATTTTATGGGTGTTTTTAGCTTACAGCCAATAGTTTTATCATTCATAATCTATTTTAGGCAAATAAGACTGGATAATCAAATATGTGAAAGGAGTATTCATGAATAAATTTGTTATTGGGATACTACAGTTCAGACGGGATATTAATGGGAAAAAACACGACCACTCACCGAGAGACGGACTTAGTGGGATTAGTGAGAAGAAATAGGATAGTACAGCTAACACCTAAAATGTAGGGGAAAAAACAAAACACAAAAATTTGAGGAAACAATACATAACTATATACACTAGTATAATGGAGACAGAAACAGTTAAAGAACCGCCGAAAATCAGGGAGTACTAGATACCTGTTTCTTCTCAGTTTGGGATTCTCCAGCAGTACGCACCTACCATGGCCTAAGAGAGAGTCGAATGAAGAACTTTCGGGTGACGACGTGTGCCCACTGAATAATTAGTCACTGAAACAAGACCCAATGGTCCACGAATTCTATATATAAGAATAAAATTCTGGCACTGTGGTACAGTATAATTTATTTTGATAAAAGCATAGAGTGAGAGAGTATTGTCAAAGCACAAGAAATAATGGGATTATATAAACGAAGTTGAAAAGTTATGTGAGTGCTTTGATATAACTACGAGCAATAGACTGTGCTCGAAACGTCATCAGTAAATAACACCGTCACTGTATCCTTTCATCAAATAAATTTACTCAGTCATGAATCTAACTTCTGTTAATTTATGATTTAAAGTGCCATTGCCAGCCAATGTCAACGGCGAATATTTCTCTTCATATCCGGACCTAGTGGACACCATTGGTCACGACTACTCACTAGAACTCCAACCAACTTCATCCTTTAATCAGTCACTAGTGAGCAGTAGAATCCTGGAACAGGACGAAACAGCTGTCCAGTACACCCTAGTTTCCAATGTTTCTCTAACTGATGTCAATTAGACTAAAACCAATTAAATCCTTGGAGATCAACACTTGGAAACAAAGTTACACAAACATCATAAAACCTAGGATGGATATACAGAATGTGCGGAATTTGTTGCAAATAACTATTTTCTCAAAAGATATTTAAAAATACAATGGTATTACGGTAATAATTTTACACATTAGTTTGCCTCTTCAGTCTAAACAACATCCACAATGCCACTTGATGGAAGAATAAAATTTTGAGAACCCGCTTCCCATTTTCATAACACAAGAAGGTACAAGGTGCAGGATTGTTTTAATTTCATTACTTTGTCATGACACACTGAAGACGTCACTTGAAGTAATGCCGAAACTTACAACTACGATTAATTAACATCCATTGAAGCTATAAACAACACTATGAACTATCTATTTTGATCTTTGTAGTCAACATAACGACGAACATTAGTTAAATATTAAATATTTTATGTTTCCAAGTTTCTATTCACTGACTAAAGGTTGAGCGCAGAATCCGACTAACAATAGCTGTATTCTTTACTACATAAATGACCTTAAACCTACAATTTGTTATGATTAGTAATCTTATTTCAAACACAAAAAGTATAGTGCCGATAATTATAAGCTGATAAAAAATAATAATGGTTCTTGCATAAAACAACTGAAGTTGTATGAAATATTCAGTGTTGAAATAAGATAATACAAATTATTCTGCCTTGACGTAAGCCTTTACAAGAACTGACGTGGAATCATATTCCTATTCACCTCAAGCAAAATATCAACCCTCATCAGCTTGCAGAGACTTAAAAATGCTTTGGAAATAAAACTACACCCTGAAGACGTTGGATTCAGGAAAAACAAATCATATGTGGATCAGATTGCAATACTATGCAACATAATTGAACCCAGTATAGAATGGTAGTAGTCACTTCTCTATCTCAAATTCATCGACTATGAAAAGCATTTCGATAGCATCGACCGGAAACTGCTTCAACACTACGGAGTGCAGTGGCATAAACCTTTATAAACTTCATTCAATAGCTATATGACGAAGCCCTAGGTTCTACTCGGAACCCAAATGAACAATAATAATCATAATTCTACCAGTGAGATTACTGAATAGCTACTTAATTATGCATAATATACATGGAATAGTGTGAAGAGATTCACTGACATCGAATCAGCAATTGAATAAAAGATATTAAGACAAACTAGTATTATAAGATAATTGGTGGATGGTGACTAGCGGTGGAATCCAGAGTGGGCATTTCAACCTACTTTGGACTCGTTTTCTGGAAGTATCTGCATTCCGCAGTGAGTGATGACGTTCCCACAGAGGCTTGAACCCAGTGCCCACAGATTCAAACGCCAAAGCGTTATCCACTAGACCACTTGGGCCCTGAGAGCCACCTATTGTGCAATGCATCATACTAATTATTTAATTGAATTCTAGTTTTTCCCGTCGATTCATTGAACAGAAGTACTCGGTCTCAGGATGACATGTCGGCTTCTCGTCGAAGCATCTGCACAAGAAGCCGACATGTCAACCTGAGACTGAGTACTTCGGTCCAATCAATCGACGGGAAAATCTAAAATTCAATTAAACTAGTATTATTATTTTGGGGGGAAAGCCTACAACATTGTGTGTTTCACAGCCTCTCATACGCTGGTAAACCAAAATGCTCATAATAAATGGAAAATCACATCACATCTAAGTTACACGATAGAAATCCGATCGTCAGCTTCAATCATTTCTGAGCTTAGTGTCTTTTTCTCCCAATATAAATGGTGTCATTAGGTTCAATCAGCTTGGTCATGCAAAATAACCAATAACAAAATGTCACCGAATAGAATATCGAGTTTCTAATGAACCAAATAATATCTTGGCATCAGCTGACTGAGCTATAAAATGGCTATCATTATCTCTGTTTCCAGTTTGGAAATTGAGGCTAAGCTTATCTTGAAATCCAATGATGAAAAATGTCAAAGTTACATAGTACTGAATACCCGAAACAGAAATATAACCACCTTCGACTGCCAATAAATTTTATCGTTATAATGAGGACCTTTGTCAAATGACTGATACTGTTTAAATAAAATGAATAGGATGGTTCTCCAATAAATATGCCTTACCAAAATTAAGCCCACATTTATTAACCACATTCTCGCTAGTGGTTCTAATAAACCATGTGAATCCGGTGATGTAGGACGTTTAGTCTGCGATAATGACGGTGATGACGATTGCGATAAATGAGGACGTGAAGCAGATGCTTCAGTATTAGATTCAGACAATTTATCACCACTTGAAGTAGACTGATCACTTTGAGAAGCCATTGTTACCAATCTGTCTGTACTTGGAATCCGAATCTGCAGACGTTTTTGTCGTTCACGTTGATGTTCATGAATTTTTGTATTATGAATTTGACTAGATGTGAACTGTGTTAAATGATAATGCATTCTCCATAAACGGCTTGGAGTTGTAAGAAATTCTTGAAATCCAAGTACAAAACGTTTAAGCGAAGTCATTCAATACTATATGGGAATTCTATTCGTCTAAAAAGAAAAACATAATAGGTTGATTACGCAATCATTTTTACATAGAAATGTTACTAAAAGATTTTTCCGCTACATTTATCATAAATAATTGTATTTCCAGGCTTATAATATGTGCTAATCATTCTGTGAAATTTTCACTTCTCTGTCTATCTGGATTCAACATAGAACTTGGCACCGAAGTGCAGCACTTCGAGTTGCCACGTTCCAAAGAGCACACAAAGGTAGACAGGAAAATGAGTGAAGAGAATCATTAGAGTTTTGACAAGTATAAGAGTGAAACAGAATGAGTAATGGTAGAAAGGAATATGAAAGATTACACAAGAGACTGAATACATCTGCGTAAGCCATTGACAACGATTTTGAGCCATGTCACCTATTGTCTCCAGCCATTGATTCTTAGAGTCCCGAGGGCCCCAACCCAGAAGTCTGCATCTCCCTACCTGACTCAGTTTAACTGTCATGACATGACATATAACATGACCTCTTCCTTTACCAACTGTATCTTCCTGATAAAAGGCTAATGAGTTGCGATGGCAGTTCGCCTGAGCTACTGCTGTAATTAGATTACTATATACTCTATGGACGCATATTAAAACAGCATCATCATTCGAAAATAATCATTTACACAGAAATCCTTATGACTAAAAGAAACTGATATTATGAAAAAAAAATTTTACAATGAATTCATAAATTCTGATCAGACTCATCAGCTGAATACTCTACAAACATGATTATTTTTATCGATTCTAAAGGATACCATATATACAAACACACATAGACATGTGACAACATATAATTAATAAGTTTAACGAGTATATGATAGATGAGCAATGAATAGTAGTTTGTTAATGGAGTTGAAAAGAAATGATAACACTCGTAAAAGTAAACACCAACATCCTTAACTATTCTGAGTGGAATATAGGCCCTGAAGCTTCAACTTTGAAGTTCCGGTAGCAGTGGTTTCATTTTTACGGGATGAGGTTGCTGGCCGCCTAACGCCAAACCCCCACCACCTCTTTACCGTACTTACTATCGGCTCATGGAGGTTTAGGAGTGGATCAGCCGGGGATCAAACCTCGAAACGTATGTGTCGTTGGCGAGCATCCTACCGCTAAACGACCACCGTCCATTATTTCTTATTATTTCCAGCATAGCAACTCCAGTCTATGTATGAATAATTACTTTTCAAAATGTTATCACTTCATTTAAAATTGCGTTACTTAGTGAATAGTGGCTAGTAGTGGGATCCAAGATGCCGATTTCGTCCTATTTCATACGATCGAAACTCTTCAAATGAATGTACCTGTAATTCCAGGTGGTGGTGTTTCGAACGCAGCAACCACCATTTCAAACGTTAGAGTGTTATCCACTAATCCACTTCGGCCACGATAGGTGCTTGTTTTGCGAAGGGTATCAGATATTATTTAATTCAGTCAGTTTTATTTTTCCCGCTAGGGGATCGATCCAATATAAACAATCCCGGTGGGTGCGTACTGCTGAAGAGTCCCAAACTAGGACGAAACAGTCGTCCAGTACTCCCAGGTTTTCCAATGGTTCTCTAACTGATGTCAGCTCATGATGAAATCCTGTAACCAATCAAATCCCTACAAACCAACACTTGAAAAGAAATTTATTATTAACTCAAACAAATAATCTTTTAAATTACGTTGACAAGTTATCACTCAGTTGTTGTCAATCTTACATTTGTGTAACCTGATTATTACTTGTCACCATGTTCATATTGTTTATATGCACGCTAACCTTAAGAATTCGTATGAAAAAAATTAATGTTCGCAAAATACTCAATTGATGAGCCCTATTGAAATGTACGAACCCATTAGATACTTCGTTTTTTTTGTAGCTGCTGCCCCGTTTCAGTTCTTTATGCGAAAACTTAATACTCATAATATGGCAAACGCTAAAAAGAGATACCCCAGCTGTGTAAAAGAGTTCCTATAACACATTTAAACACCCAAAAGTAACATCCAATATGATTCCAGCATTCCACGAAGTACGTAGTGTACAACCACACAAAACCAATTACCTAAGGAAAAAAACTAACCGCCTACGTTCTATTAAATCAAGTATGCTGAGACGAAAATGCGGTAAATTTATTTGACAATAATCTATATCCTCACTCAAAGAAATATTTTCAGTTGGGTGGGTATATCAGTTACCGTCAAAACAAATTTACCTCCCATTCGTTTCCGCCCACTTGAATGGAAAAAAAATGGAGGCGGTCAATTACGATTTGAATTTTCTCACACAGTTGAGCTTACGTGATTTTGTATTACGAGCTCATAGGAATGCTGTAATCATATCAGATGCTACATCTTACCGTTTTAAAGGTGAACAGTGTATTTTTTAACATGCTGGTGTTCGCTATACTCCACCCAGAAACACCATGCGATTACTTTTATCCTCATCGTTTTTAGTTGTTAACATATCTAATCAAAATGGTAGACAAACAAATAATACGTAAATTTTCGGCTAAAAGTACATTGGTTTACACAAATAATAAAACTTTATAAAAGTTACGTCAAAGGTCAGTGCTACGCTATTCTAGCTACGATGCGAATGTCGCGCCACTTTAAAAAAAACAGCATTAACTAATCCAAAAACGCGTGGACAATATTTACGGCTTTAACTACACCACGTAAATGACTTAAAAATGTAATTTGAATGAGATTCATAATATTAATGTTAGTTAAAACGATAACGTGTTAGTATGCTGAGTAGCTTCCTAGTCGGGGAATTTTTTTCCTGAACACAGATAAAGTCAGTAGGAATGTAGGTAACATTACGTTCAAAAAGTAGGCAAAGTAAGATATTTTCGGAAATGTGAAAAAGTGGGTAATTTTTTTTCAAATCACATGCATAATTTGGGAAAAAGTGGGTAATTCGTTTGTTGAATAACATGGGGAAAATGTGTAAAAGGGAGTAAATTTTTTGTTGAAAAAAATGGAGAAGTAGATATTTTACGTTGCATTTCTCCCACCTTTTGCCTACATCTCAACCGATCAAAACTGCTCATTAAGCCCAAATTCACCACCCCCTACCTTACTAATGTGAGTATATTTGGCTACTATTCATACTGAAGACATGAAAAGGTTGACTGTTTTTGATCATAGATGTCTACGATCTCTTTCTCACGTTAGGTGGCATAATAAGGTAAGCAATGTTGACGTTAGGCGTAGAGTGTTGGGCAAAGAGGGAAAATCAATCGAAGAGGCTATGAAGTTACATACATTGAGATGGCTAGGTCACGTGCTGCGCATGCCTAACCATCGCCTCCCCCTCCCGACGGACGGGCATTACTAGCTGATATGGGTGCAGGTTGGAAAAGAGTAAGTGGTGGCCAAACAAAAACATGGCATCAATCCATGAAATCCTTGACAGTTAAACTGAGTCAGGTAGGGAGATGCAGACTTCCGAGTTGGGACCCTCGGGACTCTAAGAATCAATGGCTGGAGACAATAGGTGACATGGCTCAAAATCGTTGTCAATGGCTTACGCAGATGTATTCAGTCTCTTGTGTAATCTTTCATATTCCTTCCTACCATTACTCATTCTGTTTCACTCTTATACTTGTCAAAACTCTATTGATTCTCTTCACTCATCTTCTTGTCTACGTTTGTGTGCTATTTAGAACGTGGCAACTGGAACTGCTGCACTTCGGTGCCAAGTTCTATGTTGAATCCAGACAGACAGACAGACTATTCATATGATGAAAAGTTGTCTCCTTGAAAGTATACGATAAACAAATTCAGTCAATTCGAGATACCGGTTAAAAAGAAGCCAATTAGTAAACCATCCAAAGTGAGTACAATTTCATTGAGACAGTTCATATCTTGTTTGCCATCCCTTGTACACATCATTCTTAAATCAGATAGCATAAATATTCGAAAATAAGTCTGTTCAGTTTATGCATAAAATATGTTGAAATTGTCTATTAATTTCCTTGTTCTATATCATTAATAGCTTATTCTTTAGCTATATACTCTACACGATTCTATTACATGTGATCACTGATTAGAAGAAATCGATAAAATTAACTCAATTCTTCGAAATATCATAACAGATTGAAATGAAAACAAACAGAAAATAACTTAAAGTGTAATTAAGGTGTATTTCAATTTAATGGTCACATTTCACAAACAACACAGATAAGGGAAGTCAAGAAAAGAAAATCAATAACTGCATTAATAATAGTACGATAACTAAGGAGAGATAAGAAGTTAATGAATAATGTAGTAACATTGATTCTAGAAGTTTCCAACAACCATCTTCTCCTCACTTGTACACAATATCAAAAACACCATAACAACATCAAACAAACTACCACTATAGTATGATTTAGTCTGATCATATTGTGTCGAGCATAAAAAGTTCAGGTGTGTTATTATTTATTGTAGACAACGTAATTACCCTGAAGTTATTTTAGTTGACGGTGACTAACAATGGAATCGAAGAGGCACTTTTCGTCCTATTCGGGACTCGTCGGCTAGATGCGTCCACATTCCCCTGCGAGGGATGGTGTTCCCATTTGGATTGCAGGTACATCTAACTGATTAGCTCTGAAGAGAATGAAACATGCCTCCTGAATCCCACTGCTAAGCACCATTAACCAAAATAACCTCACGTAAATCCTAAGGAATTGTCGAAGGATCCATACTAGGAACCGACATGTCAACAGCGACCGAGTATTTCGTTCCAACATAATCAATCGACAAGAAATGCAAACTAACAAGAAAAACTTACTCATCACTTTAAGCTCAATGATTACAGCTTTCGTGACTGTTGTAACGATCACATATATTTCATGTTCAACAAGTACGTCCCTTTGTGCGATACATAATGCTCTCGAAAGAAACTATACCGAATCTCAAAAAACTTAAAGTTTAATATATCAGCAAATATCAACCATGTCGTTTATATTCACAATAAAGTTTCGATATGTCAAGTTTGAAATGATGAAGCAAGTAGGCATAGCAATCA